TCTTCCCATTTTTGCTGACCATCTCCCTTACCAAGCACGATATCCTTCTAATAATATGTCTAGAGTGAGATGAAGTCTGACCATCCTCGCTTCTGAGGAGCACTGTGTCCGTACAGATTTGTTTGTTCTCCTGACCGTCCATGGTATATTCAGTATTCTTCGCCAATGCCATGATTCAAAGGCATCAGCTCTTTTTCAGTCTAACTTATTCATCATTCAGTTGTTATACGCGTATGAAAAAAACCAAAACCAAACTCACTGCTGTCGAGTCAGATCTGACTCATAGCGACCCCTCCTTGGGTTTCTGAGGCGGTATCGTTAGGGAAGTAGGTTGCCCAGTCTTCCTTCTGAGGAGTGGCTGGTGGGTTTGAACCACCAGCCTCCAGGTTAGCAGTCAAATGCCTTAGGCACTACACCACCAGACATACATATAAATCAGAAACACCAAACTCATTGCCACCAAGTTAGATTGGACTCACAGTGACCCCTCCTTGGGTTTCCGAGGCAGTATCTCTATGGAAGTAGATTGCTCAATCTTCCTTCCTAGGAGTGGCTGGTGGGTTTGAACTGCCAGCCTTCTGGTTAGCAGTCAAGTGCCTTACCATAGCTTGGGTGAGGCACACCTTAGTTCTCAAAGTGACATCTTTGCTTTTTGACCCTTAAAAGAGGTCTTTTGCAGAACATTTTCCCAATGCAATATGTTGTTTGATTTCTGACTACTGCTTACATGGGTGTTGATTGTGGATCCAAGTAAAATGAAATCTTTGACAACTTCAACCTTTTCACCATTTATCATGATGTTCCTTATTGGTCCAGTTGTGAAGTTTTGTTTCTTTTATTTTTTATCTTTCATGTTGAGGTGTAATCCTTACTGAAGGCTGTAGTTTTTGGTCTTCATCAGTAAGTGCTTTAAGTCCTCTTCATGTTCATCAAACAAGGTTGTGCCATCTGCATGTCACAGGTTATTAATGAGTCTTCCGTCAGTCCTAATGCCATGTTCTTCTTCATAGAGTTCAGCCTCTCAGGTTGTTTGCTCAGCAGACAGATTGAATGTTGTTAGGTGCCACGGAGTCAGTTCTGGTTTGTAGCAACTCGTACAGTGGAATGAGACACTGTCCGGTCCTGTGCCGTCCTCACAGTCTTTGCTGTGCTTGAGCCCGCCATTGCAGCCACTGTGCCGACCCCTGCCATTGACTCTCTACTTTACCAAGCATGACATCCTTCAGAAGGGCTGGTCCCTTCTGGCATCATTACCAATGTACATGAGACAAAGTCTGGCCATTCTCACTTCTAAGGAGCATTCCAGCTGTGCTTTTTTCCAAAACAGATTTGTTCTTTCTTCTGGAAGTCCATAGTGTTTTTAATATTCTTTGCCAACACCGCAATTCAAAGGCATCCGTTCTTCTTCAGTCTTATTCGTTGTCCAAGTTTCACATGCATATGAGGCTATTGAAAATACTATGGCTTGGGTCAGGTGCACCTTAGTCTTCAAAGTGACATCTTTGCTCTAACACTTCAGAAAGGTCTTTTGCAGCACATCTGCCCAGTGCAGTAGGTCTTCTGATGTCTTGACTTGGTTGCCTCATCTGTCCTAGTCTGGTAGCTTTGTGTGGGTGACCCTGCTGGTATTTAAAACACTAGTCACCTAGCTTCCGTCATCACAGCAACATGCAGTCACCAGTACGACACACTGACAGGCGAGTGGCGGACAGATGGAATCAATATGATGAAAGGGCACGACTCTGACACACACCTTTTCTCATTTGCAATCGCGCAGTATCCTCTTGTTCTGTTTGAGCAGCCCCTTGGTTTGTGTACGGGTTCCTCGTGAGCACAATTAAGTGTTCTGGAATTCCTGTTCTTCACAGTGCTATCCATAATTTATTAAGATCCACACAGTCAATTGCCTTTGCATAGTCAACAAAACACAGGTAAACATTTGTCTGGTATGCTTTGCTTTCAGCCAGTAGCCATCTGATATCAGCAACGATACCTTCTTTCCACATCCTCTTCTGAATCTGGCTTGAATTTCTGGCAGTTCCTTGCTGCAACCGTTTTTGAATTATCTTCAGAAAAATTTTACTTGCCTGTGATCCTAATGATGTTCAATCGTTTCTGCGTTCTGTTGGATCGACTGTGGGTCAGCTCTGGTCTGTCATACAGGTCGCTGTGAGTCGGAATCGATGGCACACAACAGCAGTCGTGATTAATAACTGAGAAAATGAGAAAAAGCACTTACAAGTGGTGTTGGGAATTGCGAAGGGGATATTATAAATGCAGCAGAGAGTAAAGGAAAACAGAGTGTGACCAGATGTGAAAACTTAGATGGCAAATTCCTAGGAAAATAGAGATTTCTGAAGCCATGCTGAGGAAGGTGGAAGACAGGGCTGTTTATGGTAATGGAGTCAGGAGCGAAGATCCTTGCAGAAGAAAAGCATGCACCTGCTTTCCTGGGGCCCTAGCAGAGCAACACAGAGACCCCTGTCTCATGCAGACGCTTCCAGAGAACAGAAAAAGAGGGCTGCGATGGGGTGACTGCGTTTTGCATGTGTGAAGGACATGAATTTGGGGTGGGGCAAAGGGTGGATGGGGG